AAGCTTGGAATACAAAAGCTTTGCCTCACCTTCCTCTACAAAAGCCTTGAAGGAATTCTTGAAATTCCATTGCTTCCCTTGGATTCAAGAGAAACAATCCTCTTGTGAGGTAGGGGATGAATTAGGTTTATAATTTATGTATTTTAATATTTTTGTAGCTTAGAACAATTTGAAAGCATGTTTTTAACATAATTATAAAAAGTGTTGGTAGTAGTACCTTGTATGAAATTAAGTTAAAGTATGATATTGTTAAAGGCCATGACTTGATCTATAGCTTGTATTAGTTTAAAGTCATTTAGAGTTGTTTTGAAATCTAGAGAAATTAATTAAATAATTTAATTAATTTTTATTTATATGTTCCTTTGATTTAAATTAAGTTTTGACTTGATATATGTAATGGCCATGATATGTTCTTTAACATTTATTAAATTGGAAGCATTTAGAGTTATTTAAAATCTAGAGATTTAATTATTTTATTTTAATTAAATTCTATTTATTAGTTCCACTTATTTGATTATGTTTTTGACATGATATTAAATTAGGTCTTGACATGTTCTTTGACATATATTAATTTGAGAATATTTGGATGAGCTTTGAAAACTTTATTAATTATTTTCTTTGTATGAAATTTAATTCACATAGTTATATTTAGTGTGTAATTAACTTATAACATGATACTAAATTAGGCCTTGGTATGTTCATTAACATATATTAATGTAAGAATATTTGAATAAGTTTTGAAATTTAGAGATTTTAATTAAATGAATTAATTAAAATTATTTAATGGTTCCATTGATTTAATTATGTTTTTAACTTGATATATGTAATGCACTTGACTTGTTCCTTAACATATATTAATTTGGAATCATTTGAAGTTAATTTAAAATTTAGAGAAATTAATTAACTAGTTTAATTAATTTTTATTTAATTGTTCTATTCATTTAAATGAATGTTTGACTTGATATATGTAACGACCATGTTATGATCTTTGACATATATTAATTAGGGAATATTTTGATGAGATTTGAAATCTAGAGAAATTAATTATTTTATTTAATTAATTTTCATTTTTATTGCATTAATGATTTAATCAAGTATTTGACGTTGATTGTATGTTTAAATCATGATTTTGGACTTGTATTATATTCATGAAATCATGTTTTCAATATTAAAAAATTATGTTATTATAGCGTGTAACGAATTGCACATTGAATATTCAACATTGTATATATTTGCATGTGTAATGAATCGCACATTGAAGATTCAACATGGTATATGCCATTATAGGCTTGAATCGTTAGGACATGGTTTGTGTGGTTTCACCCTACTTGTGCTTGGTAGGTAGTTTCATGCATTGTACTTGAGTATATGTCATGAACTTGTTGTTTTTGGAAAGCTTGTAAGGACTTGAGTATATGTTACGGTTAGGGTTCGACTCTAGTACGGGAGATAAGAGTTCTCCCTATAACATTAAGTACGCACTAGGTAATACTTTGTGGGTTGTAATTACCCAAAATCACTTGCAAGTGCGTAATACTTTGTGGGTTGTAATTACCCGAAATCACTTGCTTGGTCATGAGACCATATGTCCTAGTCTTTCCACTACTTGATTTCGCATTAATTTCAAGTTGTTAATCATTGATTACTTGTAACTTGTAATTTGTTGTGTGTGTTTTCAATTTCATTTAGTATACTTGCGCTTTGTATACTTGCTTCGTGTATTTAAACCTCATATAGTATACTTATGCTTGTATATTTTCTTTACGTATATTTGAATTCCATTAAGTATACTTGCACTTTGTATACTTGCTTCATGTATTTAAATCTCATATAGTATACTTGTGCTTGTATGCTTGCTTTATGTGTATTTAAATTCCATTTAGTATACTTATACTTTTATACTTGCTCCGTATGTATTTAAATTTCATTTAGTGTACTTATACCTTGTATGTTCACTTTATATGTTTTTCAACTTTGTTTAGTATACTTGTACCTCGTATACTTGTTTCGGTATATTTAAAATTTCATTTAGCATGCTTGTACCTAGTATGCTTACATGTTGCGTATTTCATTTTCAATTGCATGAATATTGTGGTTTATGCTAGAAATACTCTAAGGTAGCTTAGGATGCTCTATCTCACATGGACATAGACGTTAAGTGGCATGAACCACGTTAGGTCATTTGCATGTTCATCTTTCTACAAGTAACTTTGGTTGCTCACCCTCATTGTTGGGATATTTTTTAGGTATGGAGATCATGTTTTGGGATACACAATATCCCTTAGTTGTCTTGTAAATTTGAAGTACTTCATTCATGCACTTGTTAGCATGAAAAGCCTTATTTTTGGTTTTATATGTCAAAACATGTATATTCAGTTTTAATTATGTAATGTGCACATAAGTGCACCTTTTAGAATGTATTTGACATGTATGTAATGTGGCTAAGGGCCTTTTATTTTTAAGTTACTTCTTTTAAGTATTTTAAGTTTCATGCTTAATTAATGAAATATAGGAAAATACGAAGTTTTAAGTTGTCATTTAAATTTGGATGGTGCAAAGTGTGCCCAAGCACACTCATTAGGACTCTTTTAATAAATTTGAGGTGTGACTAAGGGCCAAACGCCCTTTTCGTTTGCATATATGCATTTTGGTTTCAAATTTTGTTTTTAAAAGTCAATCTAGCCAAATTTCAGGTTTGATAGGTTGTATTTTGCATCGGGCATATTTGGGAGCCGCAGACTATTCCTACGCGCTTTAAAACACTTATTACATTTGTGTACACAATCGTTTTAGCACACAACTTCATATTCGGCCATTTGAACACTTGAAGCAAATTCCATTTTTAGGTTTTTTTTTTTTTTTTTTCAAAATCGAGTGTAAGGGCATTTTGGGGATTTCACATCAAAATTAAAATTTTCTTTTGACATATTCAGCTATAAAACATTATTTTAAGGCAGTTTCTTCTTTGTATTTTTCCAAAAAAAATCATCTAAGGGTCCAAAATTACTCTCTGTTCAGGTAAAATCAGCAAAATCAGCTGTTGTCAGCCAAGCCTTGGCCGCATGCGTAAGGGGGCTGCCTTGGTGCCCTCTTTGCCGCGTCAACTTCCAAATTTGTTTTTGCCCATTCTTCTTCGTCCGGACTCTGAATCAAGTGATTTTTGAGTCTAACTTTATTAATTTTTGGTCGTCTATCCAATGATGTGCTTGGTAGCACCCAAATCTTTCTAAAAATTACCATTTTGCCCCTAAGACTAAACTTCTCCGTTTTTAAAACATCGCTTCCACTTGTTTTCCTTTTGTTTTATGTGGCTTCATGGGAAGTCATGTTTATGTCTTAAGGATGACGTACATCTCTTGAGACTTGGTTTCCATGTGAAAAGACCATTTTGACCTTGGGGCCATACTTGATCTATTTTTGAACTTTTACTTCCGCGTTCATTCTCGTTGCGTTCCGTAATCTCATGGAAGGTTACTTTGGCGTCTTAGAGATATATTGCATTTCTAGAGACTTGGTTTCTATTTTTGCTTCCGCATTTCAGATCCATTTCAGGTCATCCTTTGGATCATCATAGGACGTACTGGCTTGAAAAACCAGGGCCGTCATAGAGGGCAAATGAGTAACTTTGCCAAAAAGCTACTAACCACCAAAGGGTGACACTTGGTACAAGGAGAACCAAGAGTTCATTTTTAAGACTTGCCAAACCCCCCTCTTTCTTCTCATTTTTTGCCCTTCACTTTCTCTCTCTAGTCTTTCTCCTTCTTTCTTTACAATTACAAATACACATATATCTTCATACTTTAACTCAATCTTTGAGCTAGTTAAGGTGGGATTCAAACTTAGAGCAAGAAAGCAAACTTACTCTACTCTTCAAAAGCTCTCATTTGAGACTACTCTTCCTACCATTTGGGGGATTTCAAAAATTGGAGGCTTAAAGGGCATGTTTGGTTTGCTACATGAAGGTAGGGATTTCTAATGCCTCAAAATTTGCCTTTTATTGAACATTCTTACCTTGATCTCTTGAAAATTCATTCTTGAATGTCAATTTGTGAAATAAGGTGGCTATGTGTTAATATTATGAAAGCATATTAGTGTAGAACCTTGTCAATTTGTGAAATAAGGTGGCCCTGGAGAGATACTTGTCAATATACACTGCCTTCTACAGCTGTGACTGTGAACACTTGATCAAATTGTGAAGAAGAGTAATTCAATACAATGTACTATCACAAACAAGTGTATTATGATATAACACAAGTGTGAAAAGACTTAATTGCCCCTGAAAGACTCTACAGCAAAATATCAACTTTTGTACAAGGGCTTGTGACCCTAATTAGCCTGCAGAATGAACTTTCAACACAATGTACCTTACTTAGGCCATTTGAATAGTCTTCTCAACAATGTGGAATGACCAAGCTTCCCTTGTAGATCAATGTAATGCACTGTGCATGCCAGAATTAGTTGAAACATAATGAAGTTGACATGTGACAGTCTTTTTGACATTTAAAGGGCAAACTCTAATTCAAAAGTGGGACCAACAGTTCGTTTTATCCAAACAGTGGATTTGGAATTGGGACTTCCAATCCCAATTCCAAAGCTTCCAATACTGTGCTGCCAAACGTACCCTAAGATATCTTCTTTAATTACCGATAATAGCTATATTCCTTTATTTTGACAAGCAAGTGAGTGGATAAACTTTATGAAAATAAACCTATTGGATTTCAAAATTAATGGGATGGACCGATGACTTTGACCGATTGGTTTGGCAGAATAAACGTGCAGTCCAAGTAAGTAGCTTTAATAATAATAATAATAAATAATAAATAATAAATAATACACGCCCTGACAAACACTCTCTCTGTGTCTCTTCTCTCTCTCTCTCTCTCTCTCAAGTCTCAACACAACTTTCTCTCTCATTCAATTGCCCAGAGATCAGAGATAAGTCTTTCTCTCAATCTGTTTCTCTCTCTCACACATAAACAGAACACATCATTCAGCAGTTCATGGAAAATCTGACCTCTTTGAAGAATCTCACTGTTGTTTCTTTGAGAAGTAACTATTTTTCCAGTTACATTCCGGGTGGGTTTGATTTCGATGAAGTGTTAGATCTGCCTTCCAATATGTTTAATGAGTCATTGGCTGTTGATTTCGGTAGGCAGAGTTTGAGATATTTGAATCTATCTTACAATATGCTTTTTGGGTCACTTTCACCGCAATCCGTGAAGAATATCCCGGCGAACGCTACAATTGATCTCTCCTTCAACAATCTCACCGGCGAAATCCCACAATTCATGGCCTTAGATAATCAGAAAACAGAGTTCTTCACCGGAAACACAGATTTCTGCGGCAAACCACTCAAGAAGCTTTGTATAATCCCTTCAACGCTCTCAACTCTGTCTAATGTCATAACAAACAACACTTCTCCGGTAATTGCGGTCATACCCAGAACAATTGACTCCACTCCAGTAACAAATTCACCAAATGGGTCTCCGAATTCTCCTAATCAACAACAGAGGGGGCTAAATCCAGGGACAATTGCAGGGATTGCAGTTGGGGATTTTGCAGGAATTGGCATTCTCGCTATGATATTCCTTTATGAGAAAAGGGTATCAAAGAAGACCCTTCAATGGCGAAGGATTCCAAAGCTCTCATGACCTGGTCGTGTCTGAGAATCACAAACGGTGAAGAGACATCGTTCCATCACAGCCAGCCCATCACCACCGCCTGTCAGATCATCCTCAGCGACTTCACCGGCCGAGTTCTCCACATCCGATCCCGTCACCGCCACTGCACTGACGTTCCGTGCTCTCTGCACCATCTTTGGTCACTGGTCCATTCCGTCTTCGTCCTCGCCAGCCTCTGTGCAACAACCTTGTCCCACTGATCTCACAGACCCAACTGATACGGAAAAAATGCTTTTGTTAGAAAGAGAAAGAGAGAGAGAGAGAGAGGAGAGAGAAATCGAGGGACGTACAACTGTACTGCCACGTGGACGGCCACCTGTTTCTGCCTAAGAAATCTGTCGCCCAAATATCATTTTTCAAAGGGTAAAGTACATTAACACCTTTTGAGGTTTGCTAAAAGAACAGACAAATGAAACTTAGCCTATTTTGGGACAAAGATACCCCCTCAAGTTTGATACACTTACCAAAGACACCCCAATGGTAATGAATTGACATTTTTGCCCTTTAACTTTTAAATTGACTAATTAAAATGTTAAAATGACCTTTCTAACCTTACTAATCTATTTCTTTCCTTTTCTCTTCTCTCTCGGTTCTCTCCTCCTGCAACACCAACACACACACATATATATACACACATATAGACACACACACACATATATATAGACACACATATAGACACATACACACATATATATATCCACACATATACACATATATATCCACACACATATATGTGTGTGTGTGTATACAGATACAAACATATATATATCCACACATACAAGGCGGCGACGGGCGGCAATGAGCTGTCGTCAAGGAGAATAACACTGGTGAATTAGATGATGATGATGTCGTCGGTGGCAGAGGTGTCGACGGTGGTTGTAACAGAGGCGGCGACGGTGGTTGCAACAAAGGCGCTGACGGTGGTTTTCAGATCTGCAAATCGCGTGGACTTCACGCGCTTACAATCCTCTTCTTCCTTCAATACCCACTGCAGCCGCCGCCGCCACAACACCCACCACCACCACTACCGCCACACAATTGGCTTCGCTCCCACACCCCTATATACCAGCATCATCACCGGACCACCACCACCGACCACCACTCGTTTCAACACCATCCCACCTGAAAATTAACACCCAAAAGCCATACCCAATTTTCTTTTTCTGTGTTTATATATATATATACCACTCGTTTCATATATATACACTGAAGAAATTTGTTGTGTTGTTCTTTCTTGGTCTATTTTTTTCTTTGCGGCTGTGTATAGAGAGAGAGTGTGCCTATTCTTTGTGGCTGTGTATAGAGAGAGAAAGACAATGTATTTTAGAGAGAAAGAAACGCTGTATTTTAGAGAGAGGGGGCAAGGGTAATTTAGTCATTTAATTATTTTGATATTTTATAATTATAATTAATTAAATAGTGAAGGGTAAAATTGACTTTTCACGGAATTTTAAGCTCTGTTTGGATTGTAAATTTGATAAGGGGGTGTCTTTGTCCCAAAATAGCCTAATTTTCATCTGAGTGTCCTTTTATCAAACCTCAGGGGGTGTTAGTGTACTTTACCCTTTTTCAAATTATATATATAGAGAATTAGGAGTTTTAAATCACAAATTGATCTACTTTAAAAGTTGATTTTTTATTTTTATTTTGATTGAATTAAAAAAAATAATTACAAATGTATTTAGACTTATTGTTATTATCCAAAATATCCTCCAAACTATGTATTTGTATTTTAGAAAATAATTGTTTAAAATGGACCTCTTGCTTGAATCCTTCAGGACTATTTATAAAGACTATTTTCAGTGATCGAAAACAATTATACTTCTTTCTTACAATGTTTGAATTTAAATCCCTTATTTGAATTCAAACATTCTTATTTGAAACTTCTCCCTTCTTAAAAAAAACGCGTTCTTATCCACAAAGTGAGGACTTCTAATGACGCAGCATCATGATCAAAGTCTGCTTTACCATTTTGTTGGCTATATTACTTTGTTTCTAACCAAAACAACATCAATCAGCTATCGCCATGTCGCCAATTGATAATTAATGTTGAGGTGCAAATACTTATAAGAGTTGCCAACAATTTCACTTTTAAATAAAAGTCTTTAAGGATAACAATATTCAATTTTTATCACTAAAAATACACATTCTTTCTTCCAATCAACTAATGACATGCAATTGAATTAAAAATTAAATTTAGGATGCAAACAATTACACAACAATTTTGATTAAATGTACTTGACAATTATAACAATTAAATTTGCAGAGAAATGAAAGTATAAATGAGACTGCAAAATCGATATTTAATCATTTGATTGAAATAATTTTAATGGGTATCGCATTACATCCAACCAAGGCTAGATTTGTTCAATTACAAAATACGCAAGTCATTATACAAGGTATTTTAGAGAATAAATCAGAATAGTCATTTCTCTGCAATTAAGTTTTAAATATGATGACTATTCATATTTTAAATATGATGACTATTCATTTTTTTTTATTTTTTGATCACTCTAAAGTAATTTTGTTTAGAATTGATCACTAAAATCCTACATTTTATTAATCAACTTACTTAAGGCCTCTTTAGGACACAATTTGTTTTTAGTATTTTGTTTTTGTCGGTTACTGTAACAATGAACAATGTAAAATACATATTTCGTAAAATTGTTTTGTTTTGCACATTGCTGAAACGTTTTGTAAATAGTGGTCAAAAATCAAAATATGAAATTAATATTTTGATGTGTTTCCGCACTGTGCCGTTTGGTACACAGAATTATTAAGTTTTTTATTTTTTTAAGAACTCTTAAATGAAAATTTTAAACTAGCCATTATATTTTTTAAACTTGCAACACTTTTTACTAAACATATTTTCATATTTTTGCAACAAATAGATGTTACCAAACATATTTTCAATTATATTTCAAAATACTTTATAACGAAACACTTATTTTATTTTGAATTAAAATAAAACGTAAAAAACAAAATGCATACCAAACAAGTCCTTAGACATTTAAGAGAAGTTGAGGCTTTTATAGGCAGTTTCACTTAGTTTAAATAACCAAATATGTACTTGACATGTGTTCCATGACTCCATTTTCTCATCAATGAAATACTACGGTTACTACCCAATGGGCAAACATGACCACTTGTATCTACTCTTTTACTCTCCCTGTATTGTATTCTAATGTTATTGTTCTTGCTTCTGATTTAGCCCTTGACACGTGTGATAATCCAATAGAGTCCAGGTTTTGTTGCAAACAAAAGACAACTTGATTATTAATTCCAGCTTAAATTTTACGATATTGCTTCACTTGTAATCTAAAATTATAAACCCTTTTGCAAATCTGTTGTTAATCAAACTGCCTCGATCAACTTGGTATTCTCTTTCAGTTGGATAGAATGATAGATCACTTTAATCCACTTGCAGTGTGGATAACACACACGTGTGTTTATATATAAAAGTATAAAAGAGAGATTCTCTTTTTAGTCAGTCTTTGCGCGTGATAAAGTTGGACCAGGAACGTGTATCACAGCTTTTCTTTTTCCTCTAGAGAATCATTATTGAACATGAAAATGATATTGGAAATAAAACAAAAAAGAAAAGGGCAATCAAATTTTAATAATTAATTAGCATTTGGTCATATATAACTCATACAACTCTATGAACTTTATAAATCAAAATTACGAAGGAGTGACTCGTGCTGACCAATGTTCCACGAGAAACATAAATGATACTATCAAAAGGCATTTCTATGGTGACCAATGTTCCACGGGAAACCAATGAAACACTAACAAAGATATTTCTTTGTGGAAGAGAGAGATTGGCATAGAAAAATCGCCCATTTTGGTAGTACTTCCCTACTTATATTTTCTCACGCTTAGTGGAACATAATGATGTCATGGAAATCAAGTGTCCTGACAGAAAATAAATTTGCCACTCATTTGGATTTACAATTTCATCAAAAATAATTATAATAATAATAAATAAAATAAATATTTTAATAATAAAATAATTATGTGCTCAACTATCTGATTTTCATTAGTGAGAATGCACACAATATTAATCGCTGATGTGAACCGATCGTATTTTAATTATCAAATTTAGATGGTAATCAAATCACCATATCTCATTTGGTAAGTGTTCGGGTATCTAGTCCATCATACATGTTCATTTATTATTGGTTCACATCAGCGGTTAGTATGATGTGGATGACCTAAATATTATATATATATATATATATATATATATATATATATATAATGTTGGCCTATCATGCATGTTGAAATAATTGAGCTAGATATTTAGGGAGAAAAAAAGA